TACCATGGCAACTGCCGATGATCTCAAGAAGCTTGAGGAGGAACTCAAGAACCGCGAGTCCATCATCCGGACCCGCGAGGATGAACTACAACGCCAAGCTGAAGAACGGGGGAAGGCTGTCGTCCTCCCTGCGGCCTCCACGTACGCCGCTTCCATCAAGACCTTCGTCCCCATCACCCTTGATCTCCACGACTCCAACTACGCCAAGTGGCGTGAGCTATTCCTCGTCGCTCTTGGTCGCTACGGTCTCTCCAATCATGTTCTCTCAGAGAATACCCCAACGGACACCTCCCACACCTCTGATTGGGGTCGCGATGACTTCACTGTCCTCTCATGGATTTATGGATCGATTTCTCTCGAGCTCTTCGGCGTCATCATGAAACCAGGTTCCACCGCAAAGCAAGTTTGGGACGCCATCGCCAACCTATTCCGAGACAACAAGAAGAGTCGTGCTCTGGCTCTCGATGCAGAATTTCGCAACACAACTCAAGGGGACATGACGATCTCCGCCTATTGTGCCAAGCTTAAGACTCTCTCTGATGCACTTGATGATGTCGAGCAGCCGGTCACCGACGAGACCCTCGTGCTGACCTTGCTTCGCGGCCTCAACGAACAGTACTCACACCTGCGTTCGTTCCTTCCGTTCCAAGTGCCGTTTCCATCCTTCCTTCAGACACGGTCCGCGCTTGTTCTTGAGGAAGCCCAGAAAAAGACCGATGCAAAGAATTCTGCCTCCACTGCTCTTTGGGCCAGCGGCAACAGTGTGCTTCCCGGCGCTGGTGGCGAACGCACTCCACCGCCGAACGATGGGCGCTCCTTCTCCACTGATCGCCGCGGCCCAGCACCACTACCTTCTCCAGGAGGCCGCGGAGGAAGCAATAGTGGCCGCGGCCGTGGCCGTGGCGGGCGTGGTCGTCGCGATACACCATGGATGTACAATCCATGGACTGGACAGCCGACGCGTCTCCATCAGCAACAGATGCCGTCGCCTCATTATCATCAACCACCAGCATCGTCGCCCACTTGGTCGCCTCGTCCATGGCGCCCTACAGCTCCTGGGGTACTCGGTCCACGCCCTACCACACCGTCCCCACAAGCGTATGCAACATATGGTCATGGTCCTGCGGCTCCTTACAACCCTCCAGCGCATTACAACAACTTCCAGCAACATGTAGACCCAGCGCTCCTCACCGCGCTCAACAACATGCAGCTCCCCGGCAACCAGGAGTGGTTCATGGACTCCGGCGCATCGTCCCATATGGCATCTGATCCTGGTATACTTTCCTCATTTATCCCTTCCAATGCTCATACAGTCACTGTTGGTAACGGTGCATCTCTCCCTATTTCTCATATTGGTTCTCACATTATACCCTCTCTGTCCAACCCTCTCTACTTAAATCATGTCCTTGTTGTTCCCCACATTATCAAAAATCTTCTCTCTGTCCGCAAACTCACTACTGACAATTATGTTTCCATCAAGTTTGATCCTTGGGGTTTTTCTGTGAAGGCACTTCCTACTCGGACCGAGATACTTCGATGCAATAGCTCCGGACCCCTCTACTCTGTTTGCCCACCTCCATCGGCCGAAGCACACGTCGCCACCGTCTCTCCGGACCTCTGGCATCGTCGTTTGGGTCATCCCGGTCATCACACAATGAAGCGTCTCCATCATCACCAACATATTCCATCTCCTAAAGTCACTACGTCTCTTTGTCATGCATGTCAACTTGGGCGCCATGTTAGATTGCCCTTTTATCCATCTACTTCATATACTGTCAAACCTTTTGAGTTACTACATTGCGATCTTTGGACCTCTCCTGTACCCAGCACGTCTGGTTTCTTATATTATCTTGTCATAGTTGATGATTACACTCATTATTTTTGGACTTTTCCTCTACGTAAAAAATCAGATGTCTATACCACGTTTCTCATCTTTCATGCTTATGCCCGCACCCAATTTGATCTACCCATTATGGCTGTCCAATGTGACAATGGTCGAGAATTCGATAACACAAAGGTCGACTCGTTCTGTGCTTCCCATGGAATCATCTTTCGTTTTTCTTGTCCCTATACTTCTCAACAAAACAGCAAGGCCATACGAGCTATCCGCACCACCAACAATGTCATTCGCACCCTCTTAATTCAAGCCTCTCTCCCACCATCTTTTTGGGCCGAAGCTCTCCACACATCCACTTTTCTCATTAATATTCGACCCACCTCTTCTACAAAATTCCTCACGCCGTATACACTACTCTTAGGTTCTCCACCACCGTATGATCGTCTTCGTGTTTTCGGTTGCCTATGTTATCCCAATACTACCTCCACCTCCGCTAATAAACTCTCCCCACGTTCTACTAAATGTATTTTTCTTGGCTACCCTTCTAGACACAAAGGATACCGTTGTCTTGATCTAACTACCCGTCGCATCATCATCTCTCGTCACGTAGTTTTCGACGAGTCCACCTTTCCCTATGAACCAACCCCATCTCCCTCTCCACCCCGTTGCACCGAAATATTTGACCCACCTTTAGATCCACTCGTTGTGCATGTCGCCCGACCCGTTGTGCATGCACCTACTCCACCCGCACCCAACATGCATGCACCCCCTTCATCTCCACTCGCTATGCATGCACCCATACCAACCCCTCCCGGATCCCCATTAACTTTCCCGAGCCCACCTCGTACACCCACGCCCACGTCCTCTCAGCACACACCCACGCCCGCGGTCTGTACACCTCCACCCGCAGCACCCCCTCCTCCTCCTGCACCACTCCACCGTACGCGTGCTACCACCGGTCGTCTTCCCCCACCTATCGATCGTCTAAACCTCTCGGCCATAGCCTCTTCACCTCTGCCCTATAACTACCTTATAGCGTTACGTGATCCCAATTGGCGCCAAGCCATGCAAGAGGAGTTTGATGCTCTTATCCACAATAAAACATGGACCTTGGTACCTGCACCCTCCGGTGCAAATATTGTGACTGGAAAGTGGATCTTCCGTCACAAATTTCATGCCGATGGCTCTCTCTCTCGTCACAAAGCACGTTGGGTAGTTCGTGGCTTCTCCCAACAACAGGGTGTCGATTTCGATGAAACATTTAGTCCTGTCGTCAAACCAGCCACCATTCGCATAGTTCTATCTCTAGCCATCTCACAGTCTTGGCCTATCCATCAACTTGACGTAAAAAATGCCTTCCTTCATGGTCACCTTGATGAGGTTGTCTATAGTCAGCAACCCTCTGGGTTTGTTGATCCTCGTTATCCTAATCATGTTTGTCGTCTCCTCAAATCTTTATATGGTCTTAAACAGGCACCTCGTGCCTGGTTCCAACGCTTTGCGTCCTTTGCACGTTCCATAGGTTTCGTTGAATCCAAATCAGACGCTTCTCTCTTTATCCTACATCAAGGTACTTCCATGGCATATCTTCTTCTCTATGTCGATGATATAATTCTCACCGCTTCCTCCTTATCCTTTCTCACTACTATCACTACCTCCATGGCTCGTGAGTTTGCCATGAAGGACCTAGGTCCTCTTCATCATTTTGTTGGTATTTCGGTCACTCGTTCACCTACTGGTCTTCATCTCTCTCAACGGCAATACATCCTTGATATTTTATCTCGTGCTGGCATGCGTGACTGTCACCCGGTCACTACTCCTATCGACACTAAAGCTAAGCTCCCTTCCTCTCTTGGTACTTCGGTCCAAGATCCATCTCTATATCGTAGCCTTGCCGGTGCACTTCAGTATGCCATTCTAACTCGACCAGATATTGCTTACGCCGTCCAGCAAGTATGTCTTCATATGCATGACCCTCGTGAACCTCACTTTTCTCTCATCAAACGTATCCTTCGCTATTTGAATGGCACCCTCGATCATGGTCTCTCCTTACACCGCACTTCTTCACACTCACTTACCGCTTACTCAGATGCCGATTGGGCTGGATGTCCGGATACCCGTCGTTCCACTTCTGGCTTTTGTATGTATCTTGGAGACAATCTGATCTCCTGGTCATCACGTCGACAGACGACAGTCTCTCGTTCTAGTGCAGAGGCTGAATATCGAGCAGTTGCTGCGGCTGTCGCTGAGTCCTGCTGGGTTCGGCAATTATTACAGGAGCTCCACAAGCCTATCTCGAGTGCTACTATCGTATATTGTGACAATGTAAGTGCAGTCTACTTGTCTGCTAACCCGGTTCAACATCGTCGTACCAAACATATCGAGTTGGACATTCATTTTGTTCGAGAGAAGGTAGCACTTGGAGCAGTTCGTGTTCTACATGTTCCCTCAACATTGCAATTTGCGGACATCTTCACGAAAGGTTTACCGACAGCTCTATTCCGAGATTTTTGCTCCAGTCTTCAGGTCACTATCATTCCCGGTTCAGACTGCAGGGGCGTGTTAGAGACCAACAGACCTACGGCTTCTAGACAACTTGGTGTACAAGTTGTATTACCTCCGAATAGATAGGTTTCCATCCAATGGACTCCCTGTAATTGTAAATCTTCCCTGTAATATATGTATATGAGAGGTGCGCCGTGGCTAGGCTCAAGCCGCCCGGTATTTTCCTATTTACACTCCCTTGGTGGGGGCTCGTGCTGTTGTACGTTGGGCAGGTGTGGTGGCCTCTCGACCTCTCCTAGCGAGCAAAGCAATGGACGATGTGCTTCTTGCTTGGTCACTCTTTGCCTTTTCATGAAATGAAATGCCTATTTGAGAAGAGGACGGACAACAACTTTCCATTAAATTCACACAAGACACTCTCTTGTGCCAGTACTCATGAGCCTACAACTGTACACGGCACTGTTAACAACTTACAGCAGCACATCATCGTCAACAACTGGTGTAGGTACAAATAAATTGTTAGGTAGTAGAAAACGAATAGCCTCTACAAATAAATCATACATAAAAATGTTACAACCGTCACGTTTTTCATCAGCCCTTTTGTGGTCAAAGCTTCCATCGTTACTAGCTTGTTGGAGAAATGTGAGTGCTTGTGTGCTCATTTGGAAGATGATGCTCTGCTCCTGCTCGGTTTGGAATCTGGGTTGTCACTCTTGTCCGTGTCGGAGTTCTCCCGTTGGGAGTCCATTTCGGTGCTCCCCCCGCGGTTATGCCTCGATCTCCTGTCCTGCTCACATCATTTTTTCTGCTTTCAGTATTATCATAATCAATCAATGGTCAACATATATGAGAACAAGTGTGAGTTCATTGAATGAATGGTTCCATCCCACCACACATTCACATGAAATGTATCGAAAAAAACAATTAAAAGTAACAAGAATACATGCATGACATAAACAAGGATGAAATTGCTTTTTTTATCTTTCAAAAAACATTACGTACCACACGAGGAATTGGGTCATCTGACTCCAGCATCCGCACAACTTGACCCATCTTCGGTCTCTTTTCTGAATCCGGATCCACGCACCTCAAAGCTGTTAGAAGTGCACGCTTGAGAACCCTTGTCGAAGGCCGTGTCTCTATGGTGGGATCCACCACCTCCTCTGAACGCCTGCTAGCAACCATCATTTTTAACCAGTCAACCAGATTTACCTGCAAACGACACAAAATCATGTGTTAGTTGGAATATCGCAAGGAATGACCCCCTGATTTCACTGAAGAGACAATGCAAGACACTACGCATCACATGAAAGATATTTATGAGCAATGTATTTTTATAATTCAATGTGGTCAATAGTATTCTATCCTACAAGTGATCAAGTTATGCCCTCTTCAGACCACAACATAGACGGACAAGCGTGCACACTGCAACACGTGCACACAACGCATGCGAGTGTGCCCTAGCACATGCCTAGAAATTTACAAAGGCTGAGGATTAATTCGCAGCCTTTAACATGGGAGGAGTCCGTTAAGAGAGATCTGAAGGATTGGAGTATCACCAAAGAGCTAGCTATGGACAGAGGTGCGTGGAAGCTTGCAATCCACGTGCCAGAGCCATGAGTTGGTTGCGAGATCTTATGGGTTTCACCTCTAGCCTACCCCAACTTGTTTGGGACTAAAGGCTTTGTTGTTGTTGTTGTTGTTGTTGTTGAGGATTAATTCGCAACCTCATGGTGCATAAAGATGTACTGTCAAGGCTCTGAATGACCAAGTTATGCTATTTATGCATAGATGAACACTATCAAGTTAACAAGGGTGTAAACTGGTAAATGATAATATGTACTCCCTCCGTCCGCGAACAAGTGTACTTCTACCTTTTGTCTTAAGTCGAAGTTTTCAAATTTTGACCAACTTTATACAAAAGAGTACTAGCATATATAACATCAAATTGGTATATTATGAAAGTACATTTCACAACGAATCTAGTGATACTAATTTAGTGCCACAAATGCTGCTTGAGATAAGAAGCATCCTAATGTTACCGTCCTAATGATATCTTGCCACTTGATGGTATTAAAAACAAGCAGAATGCATCTAACAAACAGTTTTGACAACTCACAAATACCTCATTTGCCGGGCGACCATAGTCAACAGGATCCCTCCCTGTAATTGCCTCTAGAATAACAACTCCAAAGCTGTAAATGTCACTTTTCTCATTCAACAGTCCAGTGTTCGCATATTCTGGTGCCACATAGCTGCAATGAGTAAATGCAGCACATTATTAACTATCACTAACATAGTGTAACTGTACTCTAGCTCATTAGTTGCCCAACATACCCAAAGGTTCCCATAACCCGAGTAGTTACATGACTCTTGCCGGCACCAAGAAGCTTGGCTAAACCAAAATCTGATACTTTAGCGTCAAAATCATCATCAATCAAAATATTGCTGGATTTGATATCACGGTGCACGACTTTCGGTTCAATTGCCTCATGCAAGTAAGCAAGCCTGCAATGAATTGAATGAAAGTATTTACATGGTTAATTCGGAGGAGAAAAATATTGAATTAAATTGTTACACAAGATAGACATGGTATTAGGAATTCATTCAGCTTAAGCCTCACTTCCATCGTGAATGACAATATGTTATAGAGCAATTACTATTTAATGTAGAATTAGCTCCAGGTAGAAATATGATGCAATTTCGGGACCTTTATGATTGCATTATCCAATTGGCAAGATAAAGAATAAATGACACGGCATTAGCAGAAAGAAAGGACATTTCAGGGAGAACTCACGCTTTAGCTGTCCCTAGAAGAATCTTTATGCGGGCCTCCCATGTAAGGGAGCCCCGGTGACTCATAGCTCCATGAAGCCATTGCTCTAGGTTTCCATTGTTCACATATTCATAGACAAGTATCCTGAAAAGGTCACTTGAAGTAAGGAATGATGCAACAGAATTCCATACAATCATTGCAGTTAAACGAGTTTTATTTTTCTGCAGAGCATTGAAGGTCAAGAATAAAATGATTTGCTTGGTAATACATGTACCAAGGATATGTTTTTCTCTTGTAAATGCGATATGTGACCAATGATAATAGAGATATAACAGGAATATGACAGTGAAATACAGTACAAAGTACCTCTGAGTACCCTCCACACAGTAACCAAGAAGACGGACTAAGTTCTTGTGGCGAACATGACCAATAGCCTCAACTTCTACTCTGAATTCCTTCTCAGCTTGCCCTCTACAAGATCAAATAACATCATTTGATAAAAATAAATTCAATATAAAGCAGGATGTTCTGTTACGGAGGAACATATATGGGCAGTGTAAACAGGCAGGCCTAATTGTGATAAGGCAATTCTTACAGGTTATTGAGAAGCTTTTTGACAGCAACAGGAGTGCCATTGACGATCTCACCACGATAAACTACACCATATCCACCCTCACCAATAATGTTATCCTTGGAAAAACGGTTAGTGGCAAGTTCCAAATCCCTCAAAGTAAACCAATGACCCCAGCCAAGGTAGGAGAACTCTGGCAAGCCAACCAAAGGTGAAGGGGCGGTTATTCCATGAGTTGAAGCTTGACGAAAAGTTCCCGACCCTCCTTCTTCAGCTGATTGAAAGCCTGCATCCTTGTCCATGTAACGGAATGACCCTGAGTGGCTCTCATCCCCACGTCTCGATTTGCTTACACCCAAATGGACCATGACCTTGTCTGATTCCCGGTCACCAGGCTTGTCTTGGATCGTTAGCAGGACTCCGTCATGCGCCCCAAAGTCAGTTGCAGGGACTTGCTCCACCCTCACTTCCTTGATTTCCTTGGATATGGCAGGGATTTGGGTGACTGGGATATTTGCAGATGCTCGTCTGGTCCTCTTCCTACTCCGCATAGTGAGCCAGACAGTTAAAAAGAAGATGACCGCCATGAACACTCCCAAGGCAATGCATACAACCTCCCATACTTTGAGATGCAAGGGGCCAGTTGGCCGGGAGAGATGATCTTGCAGAGTAGGGGATGACGAAGGCGCCTCCATAGTGGACTACCAGTGTCCTGATCCTACATACAAGCAAAACTGTTAGGTACCCATGTTGCACAGCTCCACAGATCAGACATTGCAGCTAATTAAACGCAACTGTGAGCATCTACGTCCACGGTACAAGCCCATAAAGAATGACGGATTCCCGAATTAAATTGCGGTAATTAAGACATGATCTTGGGCTGGAAGGGAATCAAGGACAAGGTGTTACTCTGAGGCTGAACAAGGGGAATAAATTCCCACGATGGCGACCGATCGCAGCACCGACACATACACGTACAGGGATCGACAGCTAGCGCATTTAATTTCCCTCAGGCTTTGTTTGGTTGCAAGGGAAGGAAAACCCAGGGTAGCAAACCCATGTGGGGAATTTTCACGGGCACAAAGGACCCCCTTCTCCCGTGGGGATGATCTCCCCCTTTCCCTTTGGTTGTTTGGCAATAGGCAACAGGGGGTTTGCTCCAGGCACACAAACAAGTCCGAATTCAGTATGAAAACAATAATTTTGCAAATATTGCAGCTAGTAACGATCTATCACTGCAATCAAGTTGTTTTCTGGACTATTTTCATATGCCACTAGTAATATTGCAGCCAGGTATATGTACTAGAACAAGAGCAACCATTGTAAATAAGAGCATCACTGCTCAACAAGTTCTGAATTTTAGAACTGCAAGGTGAACACAAATTGGAATGAATCAATATTGTCTATCAGAAATGCTGATGCAAATGCAAGAACTGCAGGGTTGTCCTGGACCTATGTCTTAGAACAAAAAAAACTAAAATATAACATCATCATGTCCGGGGTGGTGAGACTTCTGAACAGGCAAGCTGAAAGGCAATGGTCACTCCTGGCTTTTCTCCACTGCACATCGGTTGGGAACCGCAGCTCGACGTTTCCCAAATTACAAGAAACAATTAGGAAGTCAACGGCAGTTTCAGAATACAACAATTTGGTAAACTGCTTCATACTACAACAGTTTTGGAACATTGTTTTCAAGCATAAATAGGTTTGCATAAAGAGATGATGGTAAGACTAGTGAAAAGGCTCACCATTCTAGTTAGTCATGTACTCAAGCAACAAGTTGATGCTATTTGGGATAAACTGGAGCAATACTACTAAAGTAATATTACAAAAGAAAATGGTTTCTTCAAGCGTCGTTGTGATTTACAAACAAATGATTCTGTTGGGATGCATTTGGTATATGGTTTCTCATGAATTTAAACGGGAAACTCTTCATTACTTCTGATCATCAGAGTGGAATTTCATTATTGCACCATGAACTGTGCAAGTACAGATTCAACTTGTCCCTAAATCGTACCAATTTTTTTTGACCAAGATAAGCTATCAGATTGTGATTTTTCGGAGCAAGTTTACTAGCAGAAGCAAAATATATCAAATGCTATTTTCATCATGCAAGGCTGACCAGTACAAGAAAACCAAAACTCCTAGCAGATGATAAGAAACTGTAAGTACAGAACGAGCAATGAAGAACTCTCACACCTTATGAGTTTTTCACAAGCGATTAACATGCAAACGGCAAAACCCTCATGTGTGTATATGTGATTCACACTGACAAAGGAGCTTCACAAAAGCAACTACCAACCTGTTATAATTCTATCACCACCAGAACAAGTGAACAACTGACATGAGAACTTCACCGTTTTTTTGTAGAATTGGATAACCATAATCCATAATCCCAGTGAAATAGTCTGAGGAATGAACACTGATTGTCGATGGATCACTGAGCTGAATTATGACCAATTAAATGGCCAAAGTTGACCAGATACTTCTGAAAAGGTACTAGATACCCTTTTGCATAAATTACAGAAAAGTCATCCTCATTTTTTATAATAGCATTTAACAAGAGTTAGCGCATTTCCTCTTTTAAATGAGTTTATAAATTGATACTATAATGGAACATTTAGAAGTTTGCTCAAGAAAATGATGTCAGGGCTTGAAAAACAATGTGGCCTTTAACAAAAAAAGAACCTTCCTGTACACAATTCTGCACCAAGTCCAGCACAAGCTGCATCTCGACATCTAGTGCTAGCAAAATTTCAAGAACTTGCTAAAATAGAGAAGATTAAGAAAGAAGCGTCTTGGGCCATATCCAACATAACAGAGCTATGGAGCAGATTCAGGCTGAAATTTTTGGCCAGCATACTGTTGTCTTGCAAACTGAAAATGACGTTAGTGTATATGTTCCATTTGTTCCGAAGACACCATTTAGTTTAAACTAGGTTGATATCATAACAGTGGAAAATGCTTACTAGGTAAATCCCTTGTAAAGAAAATGACAAAGTGCTGACATTTTAGATTCGATCTTCCATTTATCATCTATACCAGTTTTGGTCTAGAAGTCAAAAAGTACTTGAGCAACAAAAATAGGAAAATCTATATCAGAAATGTGAACAGATACGAAGCTCATATTCTTAGCAGGCATCGAACAATAACTACCTATGCGTCTGTGTCATGAATTGTAATCAAGAAGCAACCTACAATTGCTCAACTTAATCAAATAATAGTGATTGGTACAACCTTCATGAGACATTATTTGTAAACTGAGCAGAAGAGGGGCATGCTCACTTCATCCTCGGTGATCAATGATTCGGCTAAAGCACGCGGAAGACGTCAACATCAAACAAATGGGGAATGTAGTTCACTGGCTAATTTAATTTGCAAAGAATAAACTAGTGAGTTGCTGCTGATGCCTTGCAAACTGTTGTTACAACTATAGTCTACACTCATTCAACCCAACACTAATTTTCAAATAAAATCGCTCAATAATCCTGGGCATGAATAAACCAACGAATCAATTGACTTCCCAGAAAATTCAACAAGCAATAGATCTGAATACATTGTAATATGGAGGGGTGGAACCAATTACTTGGAGAGAAGCCACCGGATCTGCTCGGGAAAGGCCGGAAGAGGAGCAGATCCGGAGGGAGGTGGAGGTCGCAGGATGGAGATGACCACCCGAGGCGTCGCTACTGGTGCGAGAGAGAAGAAGATGCGAGCGTCATGAGGCTGAGCCCGCCGCTGCTCACGAGGGAGGTTGCAGGAAGGAGAGGACGTGCTCGCGCCGGAGGGAGGCGGAGGACGTGCTCCCGACGTCGGGAGGTGTGGATTTGACGCCCAGGGAAGTGAGGGGGGTAGGGCTGAAAACCCCCGCCGGCGGGGACAACCAAATGCGTCGGCGGCCTGACCGGGGGCCTCAATGCTTTCAGCAGTGGAGAAAGTGTAGCTGGATCATGGCGTGCGGGCGTTTAACACGTGAAGCAACCTACACCAAACTAGCACCGAGTAGAGTACTAGTGGTAGTGGAGTAGTGGTAATCAAGCAGCTAGGCAAGGTTGGAGAAACATTCACATCCTGTCGCTATGGAGGAAAGGAGGTTGCTTTGTTTTTCAGTTCTTTTCTAGCTCGATTTCTATATTTTACAAAGAATGGTGATAGTTTATCAAGACTTCTCCTAAATAATTGTAGCATTTTTTCCGTTCTTCCGAAAACTTAACCAACTAGAAAAAGCATTCGGCCAGAAAACTCAAAAGGGCGAGAAGAGCCCTCGAGAGCAGCCTCAGATCCAAAATAAGAAACGCAAAAAAGGCGCACCAAACAGAGGCGCATTGTAGCAGCGGGCAAGCAGAGGAACAAGATGAGAGTCCACCTGAGAGATCTCCAGATTTCCTCCTCCGCCTGCCTCTTGGGCAAATTAAACCACAAGGCACGAGTGAAACAGTAGGAGACGGATCGGCCACAGTAGCAGCAGCAGCAGCTACATCACCCGGCCGAGGAAGAAGCAAGGGGACTGACCCTGCCCACGGATGAATCCCGACAAAGCTTAAGACTAAGAGTGGCTTTATTCCTTTAGATTTTGGGGAGGGGCGGGGAAAGAGGGAGGACTGGAGAGAAGGTTGGTAAGTGGTATGTGTGGAACATTTCGCATGCTTGCTTTGCTCTTGCGCTTTTCTTTTGTTTTGTGTATCTCCGAAGAAACTCAAATGGTGGCGAGGTGAGGTGAGTTGCCTGGCTGCAGGCCGCCGCTGGCAGGTGGTGGTAGAAGTAGTGGTTGCCCCACTGTCTTTTTCACTCGATTTGTCCCTTGTTTTACCCAAAAACAATAGCGTTTACCTCTCGAAAGTGCTCCGTTGTTAAATTAGAGGCGTTAGGGCAACTCCATGCCGACGCAAATGCACATGGAATTTGTCCTTTTTTATTCGTTTGGATTGGTTGTAGGGGACGGAGCCCTTTGTCCGTGCTTTCCTAGACAGTGCACCCAACCGGCCGACCCATTTGGAATGCCTCGCCGGTTTTTTTCAGCAAATATATTTTCATCATCAAATATAGCAAGTAGATTGCAAAATGAAGCTAGAATTCATGTCGGCATTCACGCCAACATACAAAACAGTCGCATCTCGGCCAACCATACGATAATCACTCGCCGAGCATTAACTTTTGTGTCTTCTCAAACCAAACCATTTTTCTCGTGGACATCTTGCTCAAGTCAGTCGCCATGATCTCCATTTCATTCGTGATTACCATGAGCTCCACCTCCTTGGCTCTTGACCAGGCATTGGTCTCATCGATCTCGAGCTTCTTCTTTTGAATGTCAAAGACGGGCTTCATTGCCTCCTCTTTCTCGGCGCTTCCTCTCTTCCCTCTTCTTAATTTACATCTCCTTTTGGGTCATGAACCCCTTCAGAGTTTCTTGCAAGGAGAGTGTCGAAGCATCACGCTTTTCATCCATCTTGGAATTTTGGTCTTCCCCCTCGGTCGTTTCTCAATTTCATTTGGGTCGACGGCCGATGAGGCCCCTACCTTTCTTCTGGCCGCATAGTGCTCCTTAAACTTTGGGCACTCGTTGATTTTTGTCCAACAATGGGTCAAGGTGAATGGTTTGCCCCCATGTTGAACCTCGAAGGTATATGAAGCTTGAAACACCTACATATGGCGATGAAACCAATAATATACATTCATACGCATAGGAGGACGACAT